GGGGTTCGGGGCTCCGGCCCCCACTCACTCTGGTCCTGGTTGAAGCGCAGGCTGTTCACCCCCCGGCCCTGCGCCATGGCGGGGCGCGCCCGCGGCGGCGGCGCCGCTCCGGGGGGAGCCGAAGGGGGGAGCGAAGGGTCCCCAAAACCGCACGGGACCCCCAAAAACCCCAAATCCCCCAAAAATCCTCCAAATCCCCTCCGAGCCCCGCGGCCGCCCGGAGCAGCGAGACGCCCGGCCAGAGCGGACTTCCGGTCACGTGGCCGCGCCGCGCCCTATGGCGGCTCGCTCCCGGCAGCCGCGCGCGCTGATTGGCGGAGACGGGAGGGCGGGGCCGCTGCCCGGCGGCGCGCCATGTTGGAAACTGGCGGCGGCGTGCGGCGTCGCCATAGCAACCGGCGGCCGCCATGTTGGAAACGGGCAGAGCGCCCCGGGGCGGAGGGGAGGGGCCGGGGGGGTTTGGGGGGATTTGGGGAGGTTTGGGGGACCCCGAAGTCCCCGAGGGGAGGGGTCCCCCCTTCCAGCGACGGCCGAGGGAGCCGCCGCTCGGTTCACGCCTTTATTGCCCGTTTCTCTCCTTTATTGCCCGTTTCTCTCCTTTATTGCCCTTTTCACACCTTTATTGCCCGTTTCTCTCCTTTATTGCCCGTTTCACACCTTTATTGCCCATTTCTCTCCTTTATTGCCCATTTCTCCCCAATATTGCCCGTTTCACGCCATTGTTTCCCATTTGTCCTTTATTGCCGGTCTCACAGCCATTGTTGCCCATTTCAGACCCATTGTTGCCCATTTCAGACCCATTGTTTCCCATTTCTGTCCTTTATTGCCTGTTTCACACCTTGATTTCCTGTTTCCCTCCTTTTTCGCCCATTTCTCTCTGCTGTTTCCCGTCTCTGTTGTTGCCCGTTTCACACCCGTTGTTGCCCGTTTCTCTTNGCAGGGATTTTGGGAGCAGGTGAGGCCAGCAGGGATTTTGGGAGCAGGTGAGGCCAGCAGGGATTTTGGGAGCAGGTACAGCCTGCAGGGATTTTGGGAGCAGGTACAGCCTGCAGGGATTTTTGGGAGCAGGTGAGGCCAGCAGAGATTTTGGGAGCAGGTGAGGCCAGCAGGGATTTTGGAGGCAGGTGAGGCCAGCAGGGATTTTGGGAACAGGTGAGGCCAGCAGGGATTTTGGGAGCAGGTGAGGCCATCACAGATTTCTGCTGCCACAGGTATTTCTGCTCCCCAAGTTCCCTTTTTGGCTCCCCCAGGAAATTTCCCTAGGCACCATTCCCGGCTCCCAGCTCTCCTGAGCACGAGGACAGCCCCTGCCTGCTCACTGCCTCCCTAAGAGCATGTCATTATTTCTGATTTATGGCGTTTCTGCAGCTGGCCACGCTCAGCCCACGAGGTTGTGTGGAAGGGAACTCAGCCTGGCCTGCTCCCTGCAAGCTCTGGATAAAGCCTTTCTCCCGTTGATACAACCTCACATTGAAAAAAAAAATAATCAACAAACAAAAAGCTATGGAGAAAGTAGAATTTCCAGAGAGTAAAAGAACAGTGGTTCTTAAAATAAATTATGTGAAATAGTCTCCCGAGTACAGGTGACCAAATACAGGTCAGATCCACTGCTTGTAAGAGAAATCAAACCAGAATTCCAGAATGGCTTAGGGTGGAACAGATCTCAAAGCCCATCCATTGGGCAGGGACACCTTCCACTGTCCTAGGTTGCTCTAACCTCATCCAACCTGGTCTTGGACACTTCCAGGGATCCAGGGGCAGCCACAGCTGCTCTGGGCACCCTGTGCCAGGGCCTGCCCACCCTCCCAGCCAGGAATTCCTAATTCCCAATGTCCCAATATCTTTGAGAGTCACAGAACCATGGGATGGTTTGGATGGGAAGGGACAGTAAAACTCATTTAGTACCACCCTCTGCCATGGCAGGGACACCTTCCACTGTCCTAGGTTATTCCAAGCCCTGTCCAGCCTGGCCTGGGACACTCCCAGGGATCCAGGGACAGCCACAGCTGCTCTGGGCACCCTGTGCCAGGGCCTGCCCACCCTCCCAGCCAGCAATTCCCAATTCCCAATCTCCCATCTGTGCCTGCCCTCTGGCAGTGGGAGCCATTCCCTGTGTGCTGTCCCTGCCTGCCTTGTCCCCAGTCCCTGTGCAGCTCTCCTGGAGCCCCTTGAGGCCCTGGCAGGGGCTCTGAGCTCTCCCTGGAGCTTCTCTTGTGCAGGGGAACAGCCCCAGCTCTGCCAGCCATCCTCTGACTTTGTGGCTCCCCTCTGCCCAGGGCTGCCCCAGCTCAGACCCGAGGAGCTCCAGCACATCCGTGACCTGATGAAATTCCCTGATCCAGGGGCCTGGCTCAGGTCCCAGGAATGCAGCTCTGACCCACGGAGGATGCAGCCCCCTCCCCGTGGGTGCAGCCCCTTCCTCACCCTCCCATCCAGCACCTTCCCTGGGATACACAGTGGGAATTACAGCCACCCTGGAACAAAACCAGGAGCACACCGACCTTTCTGGGCAGCCGTGGGGAGAGGAGCCCAGCACTGCACCCAACCCAACGCTTCATGCTGCAATCCCGACAGAAATGCAAAGATAACTGCTTTGTTTTTCCCCTCGTCCCATTCTCCTTGATCTCATTTTAATTGGAGCCGGTCCCAGATGGATCACATCCCGAGAAGCCCAGCACCTACCCTCCATCCTTGAAGTCATTTTAAGCCAGGACTTATTTCCACATTTGGATCCCAGCCCTGCCCCCTCGCAGCTGGTGAAGGGTTTAATTCACCTTCACCCACAGGCGATTTGGGATGGTTCAGAACTTTCCACAGCACGGGGCAGTTAATGGAGCACAGAGCTCTGCTGCAAACCTGGCCCTGCCTCCAGAGCTGCCAGAGCACCTGGGGCTGGCAGCACCGCGGCTCCTCCAGAGGGGTCACAGAGGGGGACCAGCCTCCTTCCCAAAGGCTCAGCTCCCCAGCTCATTCTGCATTTCCCAGCTCCACTTCACCCACACCGAGCAACAAGCCTCCCTCAGGGGCTGGAGATAACCTGCACAGCTTCCTCTGGCAAGGGATTTCAGAAGGGCTTAGGAAGCCTCCGGCTGGAAGCAGCCTGCACTCCCAAACATGAGATTTGATTGGCCTTTTATCTTGGTTTACACAGCTAATTGTTCCAGGTGTATCAGTTGCCATGAAATTAATCCTGTTGTAAAACCAGGTGTAGCCAAGAATTAAATTGAGCGAACAATTCAGGCAGTTGGGACAGATGGACAACAACAGGACTCAGNGTTTGGGATTGGGGATTTGGGATTTGGGATTGGGGATTTGGGATTGGGGATTTGGGATTGGGGATTGGGTTTGGGATTGGGGATTTGGGATTGGGTTTGGGATTGGGGATTGGGGATTTGGGATTGGGTTTGGGGTCACTGGGGGGTTTGGGGATTTGGGATTGGGGATTGGGGATTTGGGATTGGGGATTTGGGATTGGGGATTTGGGATTGGGGATTTGGGATTGGGTTTGGGATTGGGGATTTGGGATTGGGGATTTGGGTTTGGGGTTTGGGGTTGGGGATTGGGGGTTTGGGGTTTTGGGGTTTTGGATTTGGGATTGGGATTGGGGTTGGGTGTCGGTTTGGGGTTTGGGTTTGGGGTCATTGTGGAATTTGGGGAGTGGGTTTGGGGTTGGGTTTGGTGTTTGGGATTGGGTTTGGGGTTTGGGGATTTCGGGAGGGGTTTGGGGTAATTTGGGAGTCCGGGGGCAATTTGGGGAGGGGTCCGTGGGTATTTTGCTAATTTGGGGAGGGGTCCGGGTGTGATTTGGTAATTTGGGGAGGGGTCCGTGGGTATTTGGGGAGGGGTCCGGGTGTGATTCAGTAATTTGGGGAGGGGTCTGTGGGTACTTTGGTAATTTGGGGAGGGGTCTGACCTGGCCCGCGTGCTCCCCCAGCACCACCATGACGCGCTCGGAGCTGCCCCGCGGCACAACCGTCTCCAGAGAGGCCTCGTGCAGCCCTGGGGGGCACAGGGGGGATTTGGGGGGCACAGGGGGGATTTTGGGGGCACAGGGGGCGATCTGGGGGGCACTGCAGAGCTCTGGGGGTCTCTGGGCTGTCCCCACTGGTGTGGGGCCATGCTGGCTCTCCCGGGGGTCCCGGGGGGTTTCTTGCCCATCCCCATTCTGGGGTCTCTCCGGGGGTCCCGGGGGTTCCAGGGCCGTTCCCTGCCCGTGCCCACTCCGGGGTCTCTCCGGGGGTCCCGGGGCCGTTCCCTGCCCGTGCCCACTCCGGGGTCTCTCCGGGGGTCCCGGGGCCGTTCCGTGCCCGCCGTGCCAGGCCCAGCGAGGAGATGGTGAAGATGGTGCTGAGCCGGCCGTGCCACCCCGAGGACCAGTTCACCACCAGCATCCTGCGGCACTGGGGGCTGCGGCACGACGACCTCCTGGGCGAGCACATCAAGGCCCT